AATATAAATTTTATTAATTTTTAAAAATAATTATAACAATAAAAAAAATACAATCATGAATATATTTATACAATTATGAAAACAGTTGTTCAAATAAATATTTAAGATTTATACAACATTTTATATAACTTTTTGATCTTAATTATATTGTCAATACCGTTTGCAAACAATACGAAATGTTCTCTTAGAATAAATTAATGATAATATCACGGATTTGAATTCAAAGTATCTGACAGATATTAGTTTCTCAAATGGGCGATAGATGGCTGACAGAGCTACATTTATCTCGTATATAATTTTCGATATAAAGACTTTATAAGACCGTGACATGAAGTAGATCGATTAAAAAGGGTACTCGCTACTTCAATAGCGCGTCGTGTCGGTTTAACATCGATATGGCGGGGTATGGCCATCAAGACATATCCAGTACATAATTTTTGTAAACGCGAGGCTGTTGGCTGCCAATTAAGCACCGGCGCCTCCACCTAAGCTTTATATCAAACAAAATATATACATTGTTTACAATATTCTCTATGTAGCATGTGTTTTATATTCTCTTTAGTTTAATTAATTCTTACGTTAGATGTATTAAAATATACATATATCAATACATTGATTTTTAAATAAAAAGTTTATATCTTGAACACAAAGAATGGTATACATTATATGTTTATCTCAATCGTTGATATCTTGGAATAAAATTTTTTTTTAATGCAGAAGAGAGAGAATTTTATCTATATATCTTATATGTATATGTATATTGCTGAATCTATATATATTTCTTCATTTAATTATTAAAACGCACCGTTAATCTTAATATATCTAAAAATTAACAAGTATCTTCAGAACATAAAACATGTATTAAATAAAGATTATTGTAAAAGATATGTGTAGGTATTTTGTTTGATATAAAGTTCAGTTAAAGAAGGCATCGGTGGTTAATTAGCAATCATAGTCTCGCATTCACAAAAATTACGTATCACTGTATTATATATACAATAATATAATTAATATATAGTAATAATAGATACTGGGTATATAATGATATTAAATAAATAATAATATATGAAAGAAGAATCATATAAAATTAAAAATAAATTTTATGTAGTATTAAAATATTAACACCGTATGAAATTTGTTATGCATTAATTTTATCAATAATTTCAATCAAGTTAAACTAGTTCTTTTAAAGTAGATACACGCGCGTGAAACCTGTTTAGCAATTCAGACATATGCATATAAATGAAACATTTATGAAATATATCGTCTGTGCTAATTCTTCCTAAAGAAGAAAGTTTTACATAATATAATTAAATTTTTTGGTTAAGTTACATACATCGTTCCGTATGTAAAATATGTATATATTGATGTCCTCAATATCCAATCGCGAAATTGTATTTTATCATAAAGGAAATAGGAAAAAAATACAATGTTGAAACCAAAGCTAACTGTTTGTATACAAGAAATAATACATATTATCTTTGAAAATATCATTCTGAGAGATTATTTTTCATAAAAAAATTGTAAAGAGAGTTAAATCTTTTTATTAAAGCAAATAATATTTTGTGTAAGATAGTTTATTATTGATGGTAGTATAGGATAGAGTATAACATTAAATCATTAAAAGTTTCGAAAATGTAGAATAAAATATTTGTATTCAAAAGTTTTATTTTTGAAAGAATGAAATTTTTAAATTGAAGAAAAAAAAATACAAAGCGAAAGAGGGAGAAAATTGGATTATATACTTTTTCCCTGTTTCAGTAATAAAAATGAAATTTAACATTTAAGAAGATAACTATAATTTTATGAAAAAGAGAAAAAGGGAGAGAAGGATATTGTATGTACAACTAATTTTTTTGCAATCTTAAACATTTTTTATTTTCTTTTTTTTTTTTAAATAGAATGTTGAATTTTTTAATTCTGATTTTAATAATCGTTATTAAAATACGTTGACAGACTTATCATAAGATAGTTAAAAGAGATTATCCAATTTCTTTCTATTACCCAATATTGTATATTATAGTTTCCAAGTCACGCACCACGCGATCTGATTACTGTT